GGTTCCCCCCCCCCCCCCCCCTCCTTAAAATGATACGTATAGAGAATATCATTATCTTCAAATAGTGAAAGCTTCAAACAAATCTTAAGAAAAATCATTTTGATACAGCCTTAAGTTCAATTTAGATCCATATTCAATTAAATCCATATTCAATTATTTGTCTTCGTCCATAGAATCCTTCAAATTCGTTATATTTAGTGCTTGGACAAAAAGGAGAATAAATATTGAAGTAGAGTTATTTGTACTTATACATTGCATACATATGATTATTGACTAACAGAGAAAGAGAAATCTAGGTATGCATCTCGCAGATTTTGGGAAATTTGTTATTAAGATATAGAGTTTGACGTCGTAAAATGTAATACGTAACATTTAAGGGCCAATGGGCTAAAAATCACAAAATTTTAAATTTTGAAATGGCTGCAAGCCATTGTGACGGACATCGTAGTAAACAGTTAGTCAACAGCGTTATCACGCATTCGAGACGGACTAATATCTGTTTTTGTTATTGTATTTTTTCCTTAATGTTTATCATTTTGCATTCATAATTCATTCTATGATTCTGCAAATTAAAATATATTTTTAAAGATTTATTTTTATAAGAGCTATGTACTTTTGCCATAAAAGATAAAAATAAAATAAAAAAAAGTCATTTAAAAAGATCAAAAAGTACATTATTTTTTTTATAATTAAATATGTTACTGTTTAATTAAAACTATGAATTCTTATATAATAATGAAGTAACACAATTTTAAATACAAAGTAAAAAAAATAAAAAATTTAAAGTAAAATAAAAAAATAAAAAATTTAATAAAAATTTGTGATAATTTGTTATATAATAGATATATTAAAATTAAAATAAGAAGTATTTAACGAATTATTTCTGTCACAATAAATTATAAGATTACTCCGGCAAATACGCCACACTGAGATTTATGTCGGAAGTTAGAAAAAATAGAAAAAGTAGGGGTAATTTTCCTGCTCTGTACTTTGTTGTCCTTTATAATATATTAGTTTATTGTGTTATGATTTCAGTTTCTTACTATCAATATTAATGAAATTATTGTAAGTTAAATCGATTTGTCACTGTAATAAGTGGCATCAAAAATTATAATCTACATAAAATGATTACTGCGAGGCGCGTAAAAGACTTAATAATTATTTCATGATACATAAGTGTAGAGAAATAGTAAAGCATGTTGTATAGCAAAATACAAGTGCTTTGCTCTTGTATTTTACTTTCTTTGTTTAGTTTATTGTCTTATATATCCCATCTGTTTAGGATCACATACGGCATTTTTAGTGGGCAGGATTTATGCCTCAAACATGCAAAGTACGCAGATTGGATTCAATGCATTAAATGCAATAAACACATTACATTTACATGAAATATGTATCTGTAATAACATTTGAAATATACGTAGGAAGATTGTAATTTTAATTGTATTATTATCTATTACTTCATATACATATACATATTTATCTTTTTTTTTTATTCCTTAATAAAACTTTGTAAACATATTTTATAAGTTATTTTGTCATTTTACGTCTTATTTATAAGCATTATTTGTAAATTATTATTATTTATCGTTATTTTTCGTGAGTCGTAACATATTTCCCTCTCCCTATGAATAACCGTATTCCACTCCTATGGAATTATATGGCAAAAATGCAAGGATTTTAAAAAGTTTTTTTTTAATATAAAAGCAAGTATTTCGAATTTATAATATTTTTTTCATAGTAATAGGTTTCATAGTAATAGTACAAAATTGATAAGGTTCATTTATCT